CAATGGGCATACGAGAAAGCGCGGGCGGCCCTCGCGCTCGGCGCGGCTGAGCCAATGGGAAATGAGAAGCGGAGGAGCGCGGCTCTCCCAGCTGTGCTGTTGATTGACAGCACGTCGGCCCAATGGCTCGCAAAGCCTTCCCTGAGTGACGGCGCCGCGAACCAATGAAACGACGCGTAGATCCGCGCGCTTGAGTGGCAGCGGCGCGCACCAATCGCTGCAGGGCGGCGGCACCGCCCCTTCGCTCCGCAGCGGTTGCCACGGCAACGGGCGCTCCGGGCCCTCAGTGGGGTGAGGCCGCCATGGCTGGGCCGCCATCGCCCCGCTGACCCCGCAGCCCCGGGCGGGCTCTGAGGAGGCCGGGAAGCGCTTCCGAGGTGCCTCCTCAGCCCTGTTTCCCTCTAGAGCAGCCCGGGACCCACCCAGGGCCGCCACAGGCCTTGGGGATGGCGATGCTGGGGAACGTCCCCAGTCGCCGCGAGGCCTCTGGGGACACCCGTGAGGGAGATTTGGGGGTGCTGCCCACCCTGAGGGGAAGATCCTGCTCCAGGCCAGGATCTCCCGCTGGATCCGTAGGGAAAGAGGTGGAAAAGCGCTGCTGGCATCAGGCCCCGTCCTTCCCTTTCCCTTCCAGGGTCATCGACCCCTGATCCAGCCTGAAACCCGGTAACCTGATTAAACAGCGGCTGAGCAGGGTTCAGCCATGGTGCAGGTCATTCACCCCTGCCCGCGTGGATCCACACGGGATTCCTGCCTGTTCTCCCATTCCCACACAGATCCACACGGGATTCCTGCCCTTCACCCATTCCCGCATGGATCCACACGGGATTCCTGCCTGTTCCTCCTTCCCACATGGATCCACATGGGATTCCTGCCTGTTCCTCCTTCCCACATGGATCCACATGGGATTCCTGGCTGTTCTCCCATTCCCACATGGATCCACACGGGATTCCTGCCTGTTCTCCCCTTCCCACATGCATCCACAGGGGATTCCTGCCCATCCCTGCTCCACGTGGGATTCCTGCCCGTTCTCCCCTTCCCACATGGATCCACAGGGGATTCCTGCCCATCCCTGCTCCATGTGGGATTCCTGTCCTTTCCCCCCTTCCCACATCAATCCCTGTGGAATTCCTGCCGTTCTCCCCTTCCCACATCAGTCCCTGTGGGATTCCTACCCATTCCCCCTCCCCACATGGATCCATGCAGGATTCCTGCCTGTTCTCCCCTTCCCACATGGATCCACAGGGGATTCCTGCCCATCCCTGCTCCACGTGGGATTCCTGCCCGTTCTCCCATTCCCACATGGATCCATGCAGGATTCCTGCCCTTCACCCCTTCCCACCCGGATTCCTGTGGGATTCCTGCCCACCCCTGCTCCCTATTCCTGCCCCAATCCGTGCCAGCAGGTGAGAGGCGTGGGCAGCACCACCCAGATCCTGCCATTCCTGCTGCTGCCCTTCCCAGACACCTCTTCCCTGCCCCAGAAACCTGCCGGGACAAACAGACAATGCTTCATCCCAGGGGAAAAACAAACCACGGGAAAACCGGCGTGGGATCGCGCCAGGGTGAGGTCGGGCAGGTTTCCCCAGGGTTTTCCAGGCTCTTTGTGTCTCCCCCTAAAAAACCTGGAGAGAGATCCAGAGAGGCAGGGATGAGTCCAGGGAGACAGGGGAAGGTGTTTGGGAGGCTGGAAGTGCTCCTGGATCCCGGAGATTTCGGGTCATGCCCTCCCCAAGCGCTCCCTGATTGGATTTGGGGGGTATTTTCCACCTTAAACCCCCCCTTGGGTTGGATTTTATTGGTGTTTTCCACCCTAAACCCTCCTTGGGTTGGATTTAGGGGTTTTCTTCCCACCCTAAATCCCCCTGGGATGGAGATTTGGGGGTTCTTCCACCCTAAACCCATCCTGCGTAGAATTTTGGGGGTATTTTCCACCCTAAACCCATCCTGGGTTGAATTTTTGAGGTCTTGCCCCCCCCAAAACCCTTCTTGAGTTGGATTTAGGTTTTTTTTTCCCCCCCTAAACCCCCCTGGGATGGAGATTTGGGGGTGATTTCCACCCTAAACCCACCCTGGATTGAATTTTGGGGGTGTTTTCCACCCTAAAACCCCCTGAGATGGAGATTCGGGGGTGATTTCCACCCCCTGGGTTGGATTTTGGGAGTGTTTTCCACCCTAAACCCCCCCTAGGTTGGATTTTGGGGGGGTCTCACCCCCTCACGTTGGAGATTTGGGGGTGTTTTCCACCCTAAACACCTCCTCCAGGGAAAAGGGGGTGTCTGGCAGCCCCCCCAAACCCCTCCCGTGCCTCCCCAGGGCCCTGGGCCGTTTCCAGCTGGGAATCCGAGCCGGGCTGTCCCTCCTGGGATATTTTTAGTGTCCCCCAGGAGCATTTGGGGACAGCTGGCCCTGTCCTCGTGCCCACCTCGTGCCACCGAGGGGGGCACGGTGCCCCTTCCCCATTTTTTTCTCCCCCCAGGAAAACTCTCCAGCCCCCAATAGTAAAATAAACAAGGCAAGATTTGGGTGGATCAGCGGAAAATTCCAGACTGGGAGAGGTCAGGGAATGGGAGCAGGGACTGGGATTGTTTGGGATGAATCCAGGAGCCCCTTCCCCATTTTTTTTGCTCCCCCCAGGAAAACGCTGCAACCCCAAAAATGAAACGAGGGAAGATTTGGGTGAATCACTGGAAAATTCCAGGCTGGGAGAGGTCAGGGAATGAGCTGGGATTCCCTGGAAGAAGGGAATGGAGGGGTTGGGATTATTTGGGATGAATCCCTTTCCAGGTCTGGGATCCACCCCCACTGCTGATAATATCCGGGGATTAATTAGGCCCTAATGAAGTTTTGTCCTTCCCGCTCGTTCTGGCCACAATTAAAGATTTTCCTGCTCAATCCAGTGTTGGGGTGGACCCGGCTCTTTCCCTCCTTGCTGGGGTTTATTTGGGATATTTATGGGGTTGGTTTTGGATCGGTCCCAGTCTTTATGGAGTGATTATTTCCATGGGACACCCCATTCCCCTCGGACCCCGTGGATGTTCCCGAAAGACCCCCCCAACCTTGGGACAATCAAGCCTAAGGACACCCCAACAATGGGGTCAGTCCTTTTTGGGAACCCCGAACCTACAGACCCCAGCCCAAACCTACAGACCCCACCCCAAACTGGGACCACCCCTTTTTGGGAACCCCAAACCTACAGACCCCACCCCAAACTGGGACCACGCCCATTTTAGGAACCCCCTCACCCTACAGACCCCACCCCAAACTGGGACCACGCCCATTTTAGGAACCCCCACCCGCCTGGGTTTTGACCCCCACGGGACCCCAAAATCCGCTCCCCCCGCGCCGCTCGTTTCCCGACGCGCCTTGCGACGCCGGGCTTTATTTGCATAGCCCCGCCCCTTAGCGCACCCCCAGCCCTTCTAAGGTGTGTGGTCACGCCCCCTGTGGGCTTAGCCCCGCCCCCTGCCCCTCCTCGTGTAGCGCATTCGCGGTCCTGCAGCGCCACCTGCCGGATGCTTTGGGGCGGCGCGCGGAGCCCCTTCCTGACCCCCCCCAAATTCCGGA